CCCCACTTTATCTATTGCTTTGAAACAAATTACCTCAAAACTTTCAGCTTACAGCAGCCATAAACATTCTCTTTCACCATTTCTGTGGATGAGGAATGTGGGAGATGATTGGCTGGGTAGTCTTGACTTAAAGTGAGTCATGAGGTGCATTCAAGATATTGACTAAGGCTGCAGTCATCTGAAAGCCTGATAGAGGCTGGAAGGTCCACTTGTAGGGAGGCTGTATTAATCATGTTTATTTTCTGTATTTTTTGTTTTAAGGTCTTGGGTGGGCAAGTTTACAGGCCGAGAGAGAGTGCCCCTCCTAGATTCCTAAAGATGGTTAAAAAGTTACTTGAGAGAATGCCTTTCTTGCAAGCCAACCCCCTCCTTTATCTAGCTTTCACAATCTAGCCATTATATCTCCTGTCCTAAGTCATCCCAGTGAGACAGGGAACAACATGGGGACAGGATGTAGATGCTTTTCTGGGCCTTGGCTCATGGCCTAACAGTCGACCTTGGAAAGTTTGATGTGTGCCACTCTCAGTCGAGGTCAGTTTTGCAGCATTTGTGGTCAGGGTACCCTGTATGTATTCTTTTACATTTTTATTTGCAGTACTGGGAATTGAACCCAGGAACATTCCACCACAGAGCCTATCCCCAGCCCTTGCCAATTAATATTCCCACCCCTGCAAGTAACCACTAAAACCCTTTTGTTCAGGGAGCCAGCCTGACATCTTGTTGGATCTGTGTCTACTTTCCTAAATAGAAGCTCCAGTAAAAGCTTTCCCTGTGGGGCTGGGGATGTGGCTCAAGTGGTAGCGCGCTCGCCTGGCATGAGTTCAGCCCGGGTTCGATCCTCAGCACCACATACAAACAAAGATGTTGTGTCCGCCGAAAACTAAAAAAAAAAAATAAAATAAATATTAAAATTCTCTCTCTCCTCTTTCTCTCTCTTAAAAAAAAAGCTTTCCCTGTATGTTTGCTAATCTGACTCAATTTCATTTCCATTGTCACAATACTTTTATTTATTTTTAAGTGGTGCTGAGGATTGAACCCAGGGCCTTGCATATGCTAGGTGAGCACTCTACCACTGAGCCACAACCCCAGCCCCTTCATTTCCATTGTCATTGGGTCAAAAGATCCCTGTTTGGGGCTGGGGATGTGGCTCAGCGGTAGCGCGCTCGCCTGGCATGCTTGCGGCCCGGGTTCGATCCTCAGCACCACATACAAACAAAGATGTTGTGTCCGCCGAGAACTAAAAAAAATAAATATTAAAAAAAAAAAGAAAAAAGAAAAAAGATCCCTGTTTGCAGCATCACCAAGACCCAGGAAGGAACCAGGTAACTGGAGACCACACCTATTGCCCAAAGCCCACACGAATTATTCAGACTAGACAGTCCTAAGCCATTTACTCTGCCTTCCCCAAGGAAATACCAATTCAGGCTGTAGCCTAGGCCACATTCTTGCTTCTCCTGACCAAACTGAGGCTTCCTCTGAGGCTCTGTGGTATATCATGCCCTCTTGGTTAATGTAAATAAATTCTTTTTTTGTGGTACTGGAATTGAAATAAATTCTTCTTTCAATGGCATTGACCTCTCAGTGTTATCATTCAGTCACCTCTGTTCATTAAAATCCCATGGGTACCTGGGCACCATGGTGCATGCTTGAAATCCCAGTGACTAGGGAGGCTGAGACAGGAGGATCATAAGTTTGAAGCCACCCTCAGCAACCTAGTGAAGCCCTAAGCAACTTGGCAAGATCCTGTCTTAAAATAAAAAGGGTTGGAGAGTGACTCAGTGGTTAAGGATCCCTGGTTCAATTCCCCAGTACCCAATAAATAAATAATCCCACAGGTACAAATGAGAGAGGTTGATTCCCATGGCTGGTTGACTATAGCATTTCAGACCTCTCCACAGCTGCTTTAAAGTCTTCACAACAAAGCTCATTCCCCTCAGAGCTGGTGATCTGAAGAGAAGACAGAAGCTACAGTGTTTTCTATTCTTTTTTCACAGGTCTGTAGCCCCTGGAACTCCAAGATTGAGGCAGAATTGCTTGAGACCCATACCTTTTTTTTTTTTTTTTTTTCATTTTGAGACACGGTCTAAGTTGCCCAGGCTGTTCTTAAACTTGCAGTGGTCCTCCCTTAGCCACTTGAATAGCTGGAACTATAGGTATATAGCTCTACACTCAGTTTCAGTGTCTCTTGTGAAGCCTAGAAGTCACATGTCACTTCTGTCACACTCTGTTATTCAGACCAACTCTGAGTTAGTGCAGGAAACTATACAGGAGCATAAATCCCACCCACCACCATCACCACCACCCCCACAGGGAGCCATCGGAAGCTGGCTGCCCCAGTGCCTAGAAGAGAGTATTTATTTGCTACTCAAAATGTTTTTCCTTCATTCACAAGAGAATATGCAATTGACTCCCCTTCTCCCCTCTACCCACCTTCCACCCAGAAGTTTTTCAAAATGTAACCCACTTGGCACTGCAAAAAGGGTCAGGGTACACAAAGTCCTCAGAGCAAATTTCTCTCTCTCCCTCTCCCATCCATGTTTAAGACCAAAGATAATGACAATGCATTCTTCAGTACTTAATGCTATAAATGAAAAATCTCTTTAGGTCTATTGTAAATGTAAAAATATTGCTTAATTGCAGGTCCTCAGGAAGCTTTTCAATTATAAGTTTCTTTTTTCCATATTTATTTTTTTTTAGTTCTCGGCAGACACAACATCTTTGTTTGTATGTGGTGCTGAGGATCGGCTGAGGATCGAACCCGGGCCGCACGCATGCCAGGCGAGTACGCTACCGCTTGAGCCACAACCCCAGCCCAATTATAAGTTTCTAACCAGCAATGTTTTGAGTCAGAGGATCCTTAGAGATTTGATGGGAGCCAAGGATTCTCTCTCCAAAAGAAAATGCTTATTCAGGGCTGGGGATGTGGCTCAAGCGGTAGCGCGCTTGCCTGGCATGTGTGGGACACTGGGCTCGATCCTCAGCACCACATAAAAATAAAAAAATAAAGATGTTGTGTCCACCGAAAACTAAAAAATAAATATTAAAAAAAGAGAAAATGTTTATACACAAAAATTTGCAACCACCTTCATAGATGGTTGGTTAGGAATGGATAGATTTCCTCCCTGCCAACACATCCAGGCTTTAGTGCCTCTGTGCTGCAGGTGCTAGGACCTTGCACATTCATATCTAATGAGGACAATGATCAGAAAATGTCAGTCACTGGATTGATTTTTTTTTCTTTTTGGTAGTTGGAGATGAACAGCATGCCTTTGTTTATTTTTTTGTGGTGCTAAGGACGGAACCCAGTGCTTCACATATGCTAGGCAAGCACTCTGCCACTGAGCTACAGCCCCAGCCCAAGTTCAAGTTTTAAAGTTTAAAAAGTTTAAAAGTTTAGGTTTTAAAAATGTTACAGAGCTGGGAGAAAAGGAAACAAAGTTAGAATGAGAGAGCCAGTGTAGTAAAGGGATATCAAGTGCAAAAGAGTGGGGGCTGGGGATGTGGCTCAAGCAGTAGTGCGCTCGCCTGGCATGCGTGCGGCCCGGGTTTGATCCTCAGCACCACATACAAAGATGTTGTGCCCGCCGAAAACTAAAAAATTAATATTAAAAAATTCTCTCTTTAAAAAAAAAAGTGCAAAAGAGTGGCAAACAGATTCAGAATATTCAGTAAACAAAATATAGAACACTGAGCAAAGTTGGAACTTCTAGGAGAGGCAGACACAGTGGAGGCCTGCAGAAGCAGGGGAGAACCCTGGGAGGTTTTTTCTGGAGACCTCTGGGAGAGGCAGACACAGGACAGGCAGTGGAGGTCTGCAGAAGCAGGGGAGAAACCCTGGGAGGATTTTTCTGGAGGCAATCAGATTGGTACCCTGCCCTGTAAAGGCATGCAGTGCAGCAGTGGGGACTGAGCCAAAACTATCAAATAGACTGAACAAAAGGGCTGAGGATCTCAGGAGCCCCTGCCTGCCCCTTCCTTAGGGTTCTTACGAATAGGCCCTAATTTTCATTTAGATGGAGTTTGGTTTTTCTTTTCTGGTGCTGGGTATTAAACCCAGGGCTTAAGCACATGCTTAAGCAAGTGCTCTACCATGGAGCTACATCTCAGCCCCTAAGTGCATTTCTTGAGCTCCTCTCTCCCAATTCTTTGGATTATGCTAAACATACATAACAAAAGCAAATACAAAAGTAAACACTACCTGAAACTTCATCCACAAATGAATGTAAAACTTCATCAGGAGTGGTGATGATGCAAATGAGGAGAGAAATGATTAGTCCAGTAGGCACAGAATAGGTCCCCTTACCTCAATGGGCTTCCTGCTAAAGTGGGATTGGCCCAACACAGCCAAGAGAAAACTATCATTAATTTGACCACTGTGGTATCCAGTTGTTCGAATATGGGAAGAAAATTTCTTTATTCTGAGTTATTTGTATTTACACTCAGATAAAAAGTACTAGATAGGTGAGGTGGCAGTAGCTTCAGTCACCAATACCAATGCTGCATGTGCCTAACTCTGCAATAATGATTCCTGACAATAATGTCTGAAAATGTTTTTTGGTCGGGGGCAGCAGTGGGTTGCTACTGCCCCCTAAATGGGTAGGGGCTGGGGATGCTGCTAAATATCTCAGAACACTGAGTATCCCTTGCAAATTAACCAGGCTAAATGTCATGAGGATGAGTGTTTTCTACAGTGATAGCAACTCAGATGACTTGAGTCTCTATGAGAAGACATTTTGAACTGCTAAACCAAAAACTATCTTGCAGGAAATGATGGCTTTTAGCCTTTTGGTCAAAAAGTCAAAGCTATAACTTGCTGGGGTAAAGCATGTTTAGCATGCACAAAGCTCAGGGTTTAATCCTAGCACTGAGGAAGGTGGTGGGGGGCGAGGGGAAGCAGCAGCTATAACCATTCTAGTAATGCTAAGCATTTCTTCATTTAAATATTAGCTGGATAATACCTACTAATAATCAGGCACTGTCACACTTTCTTTAAAATGGAATATGAATATATGTTTTTTATTAGTATGCTCAAGAATGAACACTCTGGGACAAAGAATATCTGACCATGTTGTGGCAGGAAATGGGTGAGGGCTCCAGAGCTGGTGCTAAGTGGCCACTGAAGAAATTCCATTCAAAGAGGATGCTTCCTGGATCCCATCATCTCTCTGTAGCTTCCAGCCAGGTCTCCATGATTTCCCCAGAATCCCTCATTCCAGCACCAGATGACACTTTTTCCCTTGCCACTCCTGACTCTTCCGAGATCCAGGTCGATTGTCCCCCATGCCCACTCACCCATGTTGTCTTTGGAATCCTGCAGCTATGCTGCTGCTCTGTCACCCTCAGGGTGTAGCTGGGGCAAGAATTTAACATCACATTACCAAAAGCACACGGGACATAAGCCCAACAACTTCAAAGAACACCTGCTTCCTCCCAAAATGACACATAATCTTGAGGGGAGAGTAGGTGAGAGAAGGACATCATGATAACATGTACAGAGAGTCTGTATGCCAGGCACAAGGGATCTTAAGTCAGAGTGGCCAGGGTCCATTCTCATCCCATCCTGCACACTTGGGAGCGAGTGGATGAAAGCTGCAACAGATGCCTCTCCTGGCTCAGGCAAGTTGCTACTGGCTCTTCCTGCCTTAGGTGCCACAATTCTGCTATCTGTTTTGGGTACTGGCTCATTTTTCAAAAGGGAAAGTAAAAGAACGGCTGAGGGTAGAAGGGGAGATGTGAAACAAAACAATACAAAAATCCAGAAAACAGATTTAGTACAATACTTTATAATAGAAAGCCGCTGACTACATGCTAAGACAGACAATATGATACACAACCTGGGTTGGTGGGGAGAGCAGGGCAGAGGCCGGCCACAGGTTTAGACTAAGAGCCTTTCAATAGACTGCTGAATGGACTGGATCTGCTGCTTCAGTTGAGAGCCTTCTTTGATGGTGACAGAACAGGCAATGACAGGCCTGGAAACCCCACAAGCCCGCCCTAGGGCCTGCTTGGAACGCACAAACACATAGGGCACATTCTTGTCTTCACATAGCAGTGGGAGGTGCAGGATGATCTCCAGAGGTTCAGCATCTGCAGCCATCACAATGAACTCAGAGATGCCTCTGTTGAGAGTTTTGGTGGCTGTGGAGACAAACAGGCCAATAGGTGACAGGGGGTTTGAGCAAGGCAGACCCAACAATTTCCCACAAAACCTCACCAATACAAAGCAGAGCGGTCGAGTACTTCTATTGTGTGTGTGTTTGCACTGGGAATTGAACCCAGGGACGCTTAACCACTGAGCCACATCCCTAGGCTTTTTAAAAATTTTATTTTCTTAACTTAGGACCTCACTAAGTTACTGAGGTTGGTTTTGAACTTGCAATCCTCCTGCCTCAGCCTCCTGAGTTTCTGGGATTATGAGAATTCACCACCATGGCTAGAGTGTAAAGCTTCTATCTGCCACCAAGGTTTCAGTTCTGTATTCAAATTTTACCTCAGGAAAACCTCCCCTAAATATTCCATCTGAAGAGACATTTTCCCCAACTCTACTTTATCTTTAGCTCTAAGGCAGGGACTTGGTTTTGATCACCATTGCACCGTCAGCATACAGACATGTGCCTGACACACGGCAATTAGATATAGGAAGAATGAATAGTTGAAACAAGGCAGAAGACAAGGAAATTGTTGCCCCTCCCTTTCTGAACCCTAGTAAGCACATTCTGAACCCAGCATCTCATTCAAGGACCCTCCCACCCAGCGTCCTGGCACCTCTGGGTCTAGCACCATGCAAGGTATGGCAGGGCAGGAGAAGTCAAGATGGTCCTGTCTGAATCCTCATTTACACATGGAGCAAGAACTCATGCCCCAATACCAGGCCAAAAGCAGGGCTGAAAAGAGTACCATGTCCACAGAGACACATGAATGGCTTGCTTTGTCTTTGTTTAGCAACACAGGTGAGTGAGCTCATAGTCATCCTGAATCTCAAACACAGGCCCAAATGCCTGTTGTCTCAGAATCTTTGGAGACAAAAGGACTCTCCCCAAGTAAACCACTTGCCATCAGACACTGAAAAGCATTAATATCCCTTTCCTTTTGATGGCTCTGGAGAGAGTACAAAGTTAATACAAATGGTTCTGCACAAGTAGACAAACAAATAAGATGCTTTATATATTAAGGGAGAAGGAAGGAGCGAGGTGTGGTGGTACACACCTGTTATCCCAGCTACTTGGGAGGCCAAGTCAGAAAGATTGTAGTGGAGGCCAGCCTGGGCTACTTAGCAAGTTTCAAAATGAAAAATAAAAGAGACAGAGGGACTGGGGTTGTGGCTCAGTGGTATAGCACTTGCCTAGCATGTGTGAGGCACTGGGTTCAATTCTCAGCACTGCATATAAATAAATAAAGATCCACCAACAATAAAAATATTGAGAGAGAGAGAGAGAAAGAATATGAATATGTAGCACAGTGGTAGAGAGCTTTCTCATCATGCATGAAGCCCTGGGCTCAATTCCCAGTATCATTAAAAAAAAAAAAAAAAAAAAAAGGTGAGAGAAAGAGAATGTGGGAAATTAACCAGGATGAGTCTAAAAATATTCTAAGCATATTAGCCTTTTTTATCTAGTCAAAATGCTGCTGCTCTCAAACCTTCCTATACCCAATCAAGAATATCCAGGGCATGGCAGTTCATGCCTATAGTCCCAGCTACTTGGGAGGCTAAGGAGAATGCTCAGTGCTAAGGCCCAGGAGTTTGGGGCCAGTGCTGGCAACATAGCAAGACTTGGTCTCAGAAGGGGGAAAAAAGAAAAGAAAAATTCTGGCCCTCCTTACAAATCAGAAATCTAGACCAGAGACCCCAGGAGACAGGTGCTGTCATCATTCCCCCAGCAGCACCCTGCAGTACCTTACCCTCATTGGCTCCTTTCCGAAGTTGCTTGTAGTTACATGACTGCTGAACAAGGTCCAACAGTTTCTTGGTGAGGTGGGCATCTGCAAGGGGATAAGCCTTTGGATTTACATCAGCCTCAGTCTGCAGGGGGAAATATCAGTCAGAAAATACTAATCAATTGAGTGACACAGGTGGTCAGTGTGCTTCCTATTCCCCCACCCACCCACACACTTTTTTTAATATTTATTTTTTAGTTGGACACAATACCTTTATTTATTTATTTATTTGTGGTGCTGAGGATCGAACCCAGGGCCTTGCACATGGTAGGTGAACACTCTACTGCTGAGCCACAACCCCAGCCTACACACACACTTAATGTATTAACACTAGCCTGCCCAGTCTCAGCTTAGAAAAACTAAAATATACTATTAAAGGCTAAAAGGGAAGGCAAGCAATTATATAGCCCAATAATGTATATTAAAACTTATATACTTTTATTTGCTTTTCTTTAGCCTAATGCCTGGTAATATTAGAGCAAATGGGTTATAAAAGGTTCACCAGCCACTTGAGTTTCATGGGATAATCTTTAAATTAGGATTTCCATATCCACACTCCAAATTTACTGAATCAAAATTAAGATATAATTTACAGTAAACATAGCATAAACTTCTCTCTCCATTCCCCAAGTCCACCTGAAAATCTCAATTCAGTCCATAGCAAGTGGTTCCTAGTAATAACTACACTTCCTTGCTTATTCTACCCTATAATACACACAAATGGTTTATTCAAAAGTTACTTCAATTCATTTTCTCTTTGGGGTTATCAATTTGATATACAATTGACTGTACTGTTTGCTTTTTTTTTGGTACTGGGGATTGAACTCAGAGGCACTCCTACTGTATCACATCCCCAGCCCTGTTTTGTATTTTCTTTAGAAACAGGATCTGAGCTGTTTAGTGCCTTGCTTTTGCTGAGGCTGGCTTTGAACTCAAGATCCTTCTGCCTCAGGCTCCCAAGCAGCTGGGAGTATAGGTGTGTGCCATTGTGCCCACTGGATCCCCACCCCCCACCCCACCCCCCGCCGGTGCTAGGAGTTGAACCTAGGGCTTCAGCCATGCTGGACAAGCACTCTACCACTGAGCCACATCCCCAGCTTAGTTACTGGTTTTTTTGTATTTACCATACTATACATTTTAGTGTTGAGTGTACACCTACTTATAAGAAAATGTTTACCATAAAACAGGATGCCCTGTTATGCAAGCAGCATCCTTTGTAAATCTCTAGTTTACTGAATCTCCTCTTGCATCAAGAGGCCACAAAGGCGACTGACCTATTAACATCTAGATCTGTGTACACATCATGATGTTCACATAACCACAAAATCGGCTAACAACACAATTTTCAGAACATACACTGAAGCCAGAATTAGACAGTGAGTATAGTAAATCTAGCCAGGTCAGATCAAGGAGGCCAATTTTGAGTCCTAGAAGTTGGAGACTGTCCCCTGAGGGATTGAAATGTTAATTCCTTCAGAGCCCTTCCTCTACCCTCATCAAGAATCTCCCCCAGCTCCAACCTGTTGCCAAGGTAACCTGTCCCAGGAATTGTGTCTCCATACAGGGAACTATAAGGTTGATAATGTGTCCTGGGCTGCTCCATACTGCCCTTTCCCCTTCAGCCCACCTGTTTCCCACCTTTTGGCCACCCACCAAGCATTCCTGGGTCTAGTCACATATGCAGGCAGGAGAAAGATACGGGGAAGAGGGCAGGAAAACAGAGGAAGCCTAGGACACATAAAAAGGGCAGAACACCTGGGAATGCCAGGATACCAGCTATGGCTCCCTTCTCCCTCCCGGGAGAAGTCTATGTTACTCCTTTTAAAATAAAACTTACTTTATATGCTTTCCTCTGCATGCTTCTTTAATGTTCAAACTTCAACATTTGAGGGAGCAGACACCCGGGTGATGTCATTACCTGTCCTTTAACGATGCATGACTGCACTAACTCCATAACAACCATTAGGGCAAGTGCTTAAGCAGCAGTACCACACTTGATTTCAACATCTTCACTGTGAGGATGGCCTTAGGCCTGAGCCTAAGCAACTCCATTTTAAAAACTCCCAGTTTGAAACCTGCAAGTCTCACCAGGTAAGCCCTCCAGTATGGTCCTCAGGAATAAACAAGTCACTTCCCCCTGCCTTGATAAGCTCAGAGTGAAGCCTCTGGCAGGCTGTCCTCACGTATAAGAGGAAAAGGTGAAAAGATCAGGGTGGGACCACCAGACCAGATGTTTTTAACCCCAGGGTAAATGATGTCACTGAGAAATCCAGTGGTAGCTGATAAGGATTGAAAGGGGGATCAAAAGGCCCAAAATTTGGTATAAATAATAGAGCAAATGAACAGGGATTCAGCCAGCTGACACTGATGCCCACAAGCCTGAACCTCTGCATCGTTCTCACTGCTCTCAAACTCTACAGCCACATCTTGACCCTGATGGAGTGGCATCTTCTCCCTGGCTCCTCTCCTCAACTGGCTGTCAGCTCCACCCCAGGAGAAGCCTGCCTTGGTTCCTAATCTGATCACCAAGGTCTGAGTGACTGTGTACCTGCTTTACTTAAAGCCTAAGGCTTGAGACTTTTGACCTGACACTTGAACTTAACATGCAGAGGCAATGTCTGTCATTAACCTGTCATGATTGTGTTGGCAATGCTTAGAATTAATTAATCTTGTTTGCTGTGAATTAATTAATCTAGAGTTGTTTGCTGCAAATTGATTATGTCTATTGCAGTGCCTAGCATTAAGAATTGTTGTTTTTCTTGATTAAGAACTTATAGAATGAAATTGTATAGAATGACTTGACTAAAGCATTGGAAAGGGCAGAAGCACATGGACATTCTATATTGCTCCCCCTGGACTGTATAAGTTGCATCTTTTGCCCAGCGCTACACTCATGCACTGTTATGTTCATTTTATGGCCAAGAGAAAATACAACAAAGTTCAACCTGAAACCAGGAGCTTCCAAAACTTTTCACTGAACTGTGTTAAGACGGGTACTGGTTTAGAAGCTTCAAGTTCTAGACTCTGCCATATACTGGCTTTACGTAGCGCAGGGTGGGAGCAAAAAACAAAAGGTAATTCCAAAGGGGTCCAAACTTGGTAGGATTAAAACCTTACTATAAAATATAAGTTCTTTGCAAAAGTCTTCCCTTCTTACCAAGAGCCAACCCAAAGTAACTCCATCATGACACAAGAATTGGAACTCTCGCTAGATGACTACAAGTTGGAGACAAATGTTAACTGCCGCATGTGGTGCTACCAAGCACCACCTTGGATTTCTGAGACCACGGTCTCGCAAGAAGAGCTATTCCTGTGCTCCAGACCACTCCACATTCCCCAAGGCCAGCAAACGCTCCCTGGCACGTGCTGAATCGCCACTAGGTGCAGACCCACGGAGAGCTCCCCCTCCTGAATACCAGCAACAGGAACAGGGTGGGACAGGTGAGGCTGATCCGAATTCAGGGTTCCACATCACCCTCGCAAAGGTAAATAAACAACAAGTAAGGGAAACGAATGAATCATCAATTTTCCACCATATCGCCCACGTGGGCTGATCTCTCCCCCAGGCAGGGCCAGGCCCTCTCCTCTGCTCACCGCAGGCCTTCGGCCACGCAAAAAGACTAATGCAATGGCCCGGCTCCTGCGGTTTCCCGAGTTGGGACCTGGGGCCGACTGTTGGGACCCCGCGGCGGCCAGCGCTCCAACTCCGGGCCGGGCAGCCGGCGACTGGCGGCTGAGGCCGCGCTCGTCCTAAGCCTCCATGGGACGGCGAGTGACCCCGAAGCCCGCGAACCCCGCTTCCGGGTCCCGAGGCCCGGCTCACGCACTCACCATGGCTGCGGTCACGTTGGCTCGCCACTCTCCAACAGCAGCCGAAGTCGGCGGAGTCGGAAAGCCGCACGGACAGAGGAGCGGAAATGGCCGCGCGCGCGGCAGGAAGCGGAAGTGATGTCACTACGACTGGCGGACCTCGCCGCTAAAAGAAAACCGCGTGTGTCTGGGAAAGGGGTTATGTTTTGCTGTCTTTATTAGCGGTCTACTATAAATGTTGATAGAAACTGAATCAGATATTCAGAAAGTAGCGCGCGAGACGAAGGGTTTCAGTGATGTCATCATCCTATCGCCAGTTCATTTTACTTTTTTGGTGCTGGGCATTGAACCCAGGTGCGCTTCATTTATTTAAAAAAAAAAATTTAAAAACTATATATTTTTAATTGTGGATGGATACAATACCTTTATTTTATTTATTTGTTTTTATGTGGTGCTGAGGATCGAATCCAGTGCCTCACGCATTCTAGGCAAGCGCTCCACCACTGAGTTACAACCACAGCATCTATTTTATTTTTTTTATTTTATTTTGAGACAAGGTCTCACAAAATGGCTTAGGAACTCGTTGAGTTGCCCAGGCTGGCCTCGAACTTGCCTCCTGCTTCAGCCTTCTGGGTCGCTGGGATTACAGGCGAGGTCAAAGCATGTCTGTGGCATGCCACCATGCCCATCTTGCCAGTACATTTTTTTTAAAATATTTTTTTAGTTGAAAGATGGACACACCTTTATTTTATTTGCTTATTTTTATGTGGTGCCAGGGAACGAATCCAGTGCCCACAACCCCAGCCCCGCCAGTACATTTTTTTTTTATTGCATTCCTATTTTTTTAAATTTAATTTTTTTTTAGTTATAGATGGACACAATGTCTTTATTTTGTATTTATTTATTTTTATGTGATGCTGCTGATGGAACCCAGGGCCCCAAATTTGCAAGGCAAGCGCTTTACCACTGAGCCACAACCCCAGCTCCATTCCTATTCTTTTAAAAGCATCCTTCCCACTACTCTACACTGGGGAGGGAAGATAATTATAGATAATCCTAAATATTATCTTCATCTTCAGATGTCCCTTGTGAACGTTTATGGTGAGGAATGGAGTTAGAATCAGGAAGAAAAGCAAGTTTGGGGTTGGTGGGTAAGGGTTGCATTACTGTCAGGTTCTTTGTAGTTATTTGCTGACCTGACTTGGACTTTCCTTCTGGTTAGCATCTTGCTCTGTGCTCCGTGGAGATCCAGATCTCTATTAATACAGGCAGGTCCTCCTTGATGTTTATGGTCCATACTCATCTCTCTCCAACCTGCCTCCACAGGTCTTGGAATCATTGGGAACTAGTCAAAACTAGACTAATTGGGACTAATTCCAGTTAATTCCTTTGGAAATGTAGGAGTTGAGAACTGGCAAGACCCTTAGAAATCATGCAACACAACATTATCTTTACAGATAGGAAAACTGAGGTTCAGGAAAGGAAGCTTGCCTATGGTCACAGAGTGAGTCAATGGCAGAACCAAAACTGGACCCTGGGATTTTTGACACTCTCCTGGTTTATTTCCACCACATCTTGTTGCTCTACCTGAGATATTTTGAGGAACAGGACTATGGGAAGAGCTTGAGCTGTGTCCAAGTTTAAAGTTTGATTACATCAGAGATCCCTCATCAAACTTTACCTCTTGAAAATCTGATGTGACTTGTCAAAGAAAAAAAAAATCTAAAAATTAAGTAATGTCCATCGAGGGCTCCAGTAAAGAGTAGAACCTGTGATGCAGACTCTGCTCCTTGCTTTTGTTGGATCCTGGGTTTTTTGTTTTTTGAGGGTTTTTTTGGCTCCATATTATTTGGACCTATCAGCTACTATTGTTGAGAAATGAAACATTATCCAATTTTCAGTCATAAATATGTTCTTATTGTTTGCTTCCTAGATGTCCTTTTAAACAATTTATGATTACTATTTGATCTACCTGACATCTTGAACTGTCATGTCCCAGATCTTCCTAGTAGTGACTGATAGGGATATTTTTATGATCATGGGTAATGAGAAAGTACATGTTACTTAATTGTCTAATGAATTTTGCTTCACAACTATGTAATTTCTCAACCTCCATGTTTTCTCAGAACCATCTCATCCTTCTTATCTTGCTGTTGTTTCCCTAGCTAGTAAATTAATAAATGCTGATATGATCTCAGGATTAATTTATTTTAGAAATTTACATCACCAGTGTGCTTAAAACACTAGATGTGCCAGGTGCAATGGTGCACACTTGTATTCTCAGTGACTCGGAAGGCTGAGGCAGGAGGATCACAAGTTTAAGACCAAACTCACCAATTTAACAAAACCTTGTTTCAAAATAAAAAATAAAAATGGCTGGGGACAGCCAGGCACAGTGGCACATGCCTGTAATCCCAGCAACTTCGGAGGTGGATGCAGAAGGATCTCAAGTTTGAGGCCAGCCTCGGCAACTTAGTAAGACCCTCAGCAGCTTAGCAAGACCCTGTCTCAAAATTAAAAAAGGGCTGGGGATATAGCTCAGTGGTAGAGTGCCTCTGAGTTGAATCCTTGGTACAAACAAAACAAAACAAAAAACAGAAACAAAAATACCCCAAATGCTTGACGTACCCCTCTAGGCCCCTTTCCACGAGTATTTTCCCAGGCCTTCATGTTACATCTCCACCCACCGTCTTTTGCTGTTCTGAGTACAGCAATTTTTTTTTTTTCCAACCCCATCAGTCACCTTCTGTTGGGACTGTGCCATGATCTGAAAATGATTTGATTGTCCCCCTCCCCATCAACTCATACAGAAGTTTAATCCCTGATGTTATATATTAATAGTATTAAGAGTATGGAACTTTATCCACTTTGGTGTTTAGAGGTGGAGCCTTTGGGAAGTGATTAGGATTAGATAAAGCCATTAGGGTGGAACCCCCATATTAAATCCTGATGGATTTTTAAGGCGGGGGAGGGAAGGAGGGGAAAGGTAGAGAGGGGAAAAGGAGGAGGGAAGGAGGGAAACAGACTATGTATACATATGTGTGCTCCCTGCCTCATGCCATGTGATGCTCTGTGCCACCTTGGGACTCTGCCAGAAAGAAGGCCATCACTAGATAAGGCCTTTTGACTTTGCACTCCAGAACCATGAGCCAAAATAAATCTTTTTTGTTTGTAAAGTAGCCTGCCTCAGGTATTTCATTATAGTAACATAAAACATATTAATATAGCTAGGCATGCAGCATTCCTGTAATCTGAGCAATTTGGGAGGCTGAGGTAGGATTGCAAGTTTAAGGACAATCTAGCAAGACCTTGTCTCAAAATAAAAAATAAATGGTCTGGAGATTGGTGATGTAGCTCAGGAGTTCAATCTCCAGTACTACTACTTACTACTACAAACAAACAAACAAACAAAACCCAACAGACAAAAATAGAGTGATTTGTTCCACTGTGCTGCTTGCTGAGCTAAGTCCTGTTTAACACCTCTCATTGAAATCTCCTTAATCACCCTGACTAGGTAATTGCCCCTACTATATAGGAGCCATAGTTACCTCCATTTGATCTTTGTAGTACTTGTTGGCTTTACTTTCTTCAGTGTCTATCTTCCCAATCACAACAAGAACTCCAGGAGAACAGAACCTGCAGCTGCCTTGGGCCTTTTGGAAACTGTGGGACTCTCAATAAGATGGTGTTAGAAAGCATTTATTATAGATGTAGGCTCGTATTGGGTGCTTTTGGGGAGGGTTCAAAGAAGTTGGATTTGCTCTAGATCAGATATGTCAGAAAGTATGGGTTTTTCTTTCTTTCTTTTTTTCTTTTTTGGTACTGGGGATTGTGGGGATTGAACTCGAGGGCATTCAACCACTGAGCCTCTTCCCCAGCCCTATTTTGTGTTTTATTTAGAGATAGGGTCTCACTGAGTAGCTCGAGGGCCTTGCTAAGTTGCTGAGGCTGGCGGTGAACTTGCATTCCTCATGCCTCAACCTCTGAGTCACTGGGATAACAGGTGTGCGCCACTGTGCCTGGCAATTTTTTTTACTTCTTTTCATTCCTTTTGAGCACTTATCCAGCACTGTTCTTAACCTATATCCTAGGCATGCAAGCTCAGAGCAGTGACTGGAGCTGAGGCTGGGCATCCTTTGTGAGGTGGCCTTAGTGACAGAGGTGCTACGAAGCAGAGGCTGCCCCACCCCAAATTGACTGGGTCAGCCACACCAGCCTTGCCCTCCAGCTCCCTGACACCATCTGCCGAACCTAAGCACTGTCATGCTGCTGCCGCTGCTGGGCGCCTGTGCTGTGGTGGGGCCATTCCAGGGTCCTGAGTGGGAGCCAGTTCGGGGCCTGATCTCACAGGATTGCAGCTGTAGAGACCCCCGGTGCTGTGGCAATCTGCTTGTTCTCTGCCTCTTTCTGATCTGGCAGGTCCGGCACTATTGGCACCACTTCACCAGGAATCGCCTGCTCAGAAGGAGTATTATCAAGGTGAGGGGGCCCTTCGCACTTCCACTGTCTTTCCCTCGGCACCATCATTGCCACAGCCACATGCTACAAGGACCCTGTCATATGCCCTGTGTACCAGAGATGAGTACCTCAGACTGGTTAGAGCAAGCATCATCCAGACCCCAACATAGGAGTTACTCTTGACTCCTGTCTTTTCCTTGCTCCACACATTGAATCCACTTGCAAGCCACGTCTCAAATCTGATCACATCTTGAAACTTCACCATACCACCTTGGGCAGAGGTGCCAGCAAGACTCACCTGAACCTCAGGAACAGCTTCTGCTCGGTCCTGTTGACTGTCTGACCCAGCCGCGGCAGTCTTCCACACTATGCACCTGCCATAATGACCTTTCTGTCTTTCTCCCCCACCCACTTCAATGCTGGAGATCAAATCCAGGATCTTATGCATGCTGGGCAACTGCCCAACCACTGAGCTATATCTCCAGCCCTGCCTTCTCTCTCTCTCTCTCCCCCCACCCTCTCCCTATAAGTTGAATTCAAAGATAATATGCACACACAAATCACAAATGTATAGACCAGCGAATTTTCACAAATAGAACACACCCATATGCCAATATCCAGGTTAAGAAACAGACCGCTGGGCAGACGGGGGTTGCTTAGTGGTAGAGTGTTTGCCTGGCTTTCCTGCAATCATATGGCAAATGTTCTATGCCTGGTTTAAATCCAACAGTATACTTGTAGGCCAGAAAAAAAAACAAAAAAACTTTTAAAACAAGTCATAGCATTTTGCTGCTGAAATGTTTCCTGTGAATACATTCCTTGTCAAATTCAGAGTAAAATCCGAACTTCTAACCCCGTCTCCAAGACCTTTTCTTGCTGCTGGCTCCATTCTGGACATATGGGCCTTCTTGCTTTTCCTGCACACATGATCTTATTCTATCTTCAAGGCTTTTCCAAATGCCTCCTTTGCCTACAATGCTCTTTCCTCACTTGTCACTTGGTTTGTCCCTCACTTCCTTCAGGCCTCCATCAAATACCCTCTCCAAGAACCCTTTAATGGCTACTTTGTCTAAAGAAGCTAACCCCCATCCCCACACCCTGATTTATTTGCATTTAAATACTTTTTGATACCTAACGTTATGTTATATATTTGGTTATTGTCTTTCTTGCATGTCTAGAATTTAGCTCCCAGAGGGATTTTGTCTTGTGCCCAGCCCAGAATAATCTCTCAGTCTTTTTTGAATGAATGAACACTGTTTGCCTTAAGGGGGTGATTTTCCCTTTCCTGAGCCCAAGCATCTTTCTCTGGATAATGGGGATAGTCATTCTGATCTGTGGGGATTATATAAGCTAATCTATGTACAACATTTTTAAAAAAATTTAATTTTTTAATTTGTTATAATTAAGGAATTTTGTTTTTTTGGATCTCATCTACAGGTGCCATCACAGAAGTGGGCAATGCCCTCCATGAGATGTGAAATTTTCTTTAGGCTAGCTCCTGAATTCGTCAGTCCTGGTGATTTCAGAGGCCGTGATGCTCATGTCCAACAATGGGTACAAAAGCAGAGGTGGAGATACTGAAAGAGCCTTCTAGAATCATGGACCCAGAACATGTTCTCTTCACAAAATCTGCTTCAGGACTCATCTTGGGGTGCTCACACCTTGCATGAGCCCATCTTTTGTATCTCCTCCTTTTCAAGCACCTGTCCACTCTCTCAGGACAGTTCCTGGGAAACATGGCAGGTATCCTGGTGTCTCAAGGGCAGCCAGACTCACTCTGCCCTAGACACATGCCAAAGGATTGGGCGACTGCTGGTTCACTCCCAGGAGAAGTTGGTACCACTGGAGCATGTCCTCAGCAGAAAAATCTGTTCCCCCTCCCATGACATTTGTCATCTCTCTCCCAAAGCTCCCTTCAGCTCAGAGGCTGCAATTCTGCTCTGGACAGTTTCTGCCTGATCCTGCCCACCAACAAATGGTAATATCCACCTGGAAGTTCTGGAATAACCCACAAGACACCTGGGCACCACTGAGTGAAACCCAGACAATAGGCAGAGAGTATTCTAGAGAGACTCAGGCCCCAGGGTGGGCAAACCAGAGAGAGAGCAGAGGGGTATATGCTTGGGAAATCCAGGCATCTGGGGGCCAACTCTCAATAGACTTTGGAATGGAGCATTGTGCAGAGGCTAAGGATCTGGAGTGCAGAAACCAGTCACTGGTTATAAATGAAACTGATGGAGAGATCCTGATTCCAGGGCAGAAGAACTGGATGGAAATTGAAAATCAAGCCCAAATTGAGGAAGTAGGGAAGAAAATCCAGAGGGAGGCAGGAGGTAAGAACCCTCCTGAAACCCAGATTCACATGGGAGAGAATCAAGAACAGTTAAGATGTAAAGTTGATGCAGAGACCCAAACACCACGGTGGGGATACCAGGAGAAGAGTGGGGGTGGGGGTACTTTGGAGATTCAGACATTTGAGAGGAAGAACAAGAAAGAGCCCAGAAAGGAGGAAGAGGGAGAGATTCAGGCCCATGGACTAGGGAAGCAGGGCCAGACTGGAGGTGAGAATGCTGCGGAGGCCCAGATTCCAGAGTGCAGGAAACAAAACCAGACTGGAGGTGACCCTAGTGCAGAAACTGAGGCAGAAGAAGGGAGAAACAAGGATCAGGTTGGAAATGAGGATGCTGTGCAAACCCCGACATCTGGGAGGGAGAACCTGGAAGACGTCAAACAAGAGAATAGAACAGGGGGCCAGGCCCTGGGATGGGGCAAACAGGAATGCAGCAGAAGTGATAATATTACAGAAACCCAGGCACTCATGGGGGAGAAACAGGGTCAGGGTGGAGGTGAGAATGCCAGAGAGACTCAGGCATCTAGGGGAGAGAAACAGAAACTCTCAAGACATGCAGTTCAAGTGAGGCAGGGAAACCAAGGCCTGGGAAGAGGAGAGGAGGCTGTGCGACCCAGGATGTCTAGGAGGAAGAAGTTGAAGGAGATAAGAGAGGAGGATTGGGTGGTGATCCAGACACCCTGGTGGGGAAACCAGAGCCCAGTAATGAATGAAATTGACAGACAATTCAAGATATTATGTTGGGGGAATAAGAACCAAATTGGAGGTGGACCCAGAGCAAAAATTCAGTCACCAGAGGAGAAAGATAAGAGGAAGGATGGAGATGAGGATGGTATAGATACCCTGGTGCTTGAGGCAGAGAACCAAGGATTATTAAGAAATGAAGTGAATGAGGAGACCCATTCAGCAGGAAGGAAGAATGAGGAGCAATTTGGAGTTGAGAATGGAGCAGACATTCAGGCACTAGGGAAGAGAAATCCAAGAGGGTTTAAAGACAAAAATGGTACAATGAACCAGGAACTTGGGGGAGAAAATCAGGGCCAGTTAGAAAATGAATTCCATGGAAATATTTGCATACCACAGTGGAAGAATCAGGAGCATATTAGAGGCAAGGATGGTGCAAACACCCAGATACTTGAGGCAAGGAACTGGGGAGAATTAACAAGTGAAAGTCACTCAGGAAGTGATATAGATAGGATGATTCATTCATCACAATGGAAAAACCAGAAGCAGATGGAAGGTAAGGATGGAACAGAAATTCTGTCCCCAAAGAAGAGAAAACAGAGAGAACCTGAAGGTGAGGATGATATAAAAACCCAGAAGCCTGAGAACCAGGGACAGTTGGAGAATGTAATTGGAAGGAGCCATTCCCCAAGAATGGGGAGCTGGGGGCAGACTGAAGGAGAGAACATTGCAGAAAATCAGGCATCAGAGGAGAAAAACCAGAGAGAGGCTGGAATTGAGAATGGTAGAAAGGTTCACATACCTAGGGAGAAAAATCAGAGTCTGCTAAGAAGTAAAGTTCATAGAAAGACCTGTTCATCAGAATGTAAAGTTCACAGAAGAAACTGTTCATCAGGATGTAAAGTTCACACAAGGACCTGTTCATCAGAATGTAAAGCTCACAGAAGGACCTGTCCACCAGAATGTAAAGTTCACACAAGGACCTGTTCATCAGGATGTAAAGCTCACAGAAGAACCTGTCCACCAGAATGTAAGAAACAGGAAGAGATTGGAGGTGGGAATGGTGCAGAAACTCAAATACGAGGGAAGAGAAACCCAAGAAGGTCTACAGGTGGTGACAGCACAAAGATGCAGGCATCTGTGGAAGATGACCAGGGACAGTCCAGAAGGGAAATTGAAGGAGAGGTTCATAAACAAGGGCAAGGAAACCAGAACCAGGGTGGAGATGCTGCTGCTGCTGCTACAGAAATCTGGAACGTAGAGAGTCAGAGAAAGTACAGAGCTAAGGATGATGGAGGGCCTCAGACATCCAGGAGAGGAAACACGAGCCAAATCAGAGAAAAGAATGCTATGGGGGCCAGTCACCAAAGGGAATATCCTTCAGGTGAGAGGCCCACAGGCAGGAAATGCAGCCGGGCTGGGCCAACCACCCTCACTGGCTCTAGATATGAGCCCTTGGGACAAGAACAGGTAGCAGCTGTAGACAGGGTAGCTGAGGCTTCCTGTCCTGAGATGAAGCCTCGCCCCCACTTGGGTGAAGTTTTCCTGCTGGCTACTGGGGAGGGAGAGCATTTGACCAGCCAGGGCATAGCCCCTGCCAGGGAGTACAAAGCCCGGGTCAGACCAACCTCCCAGCAGGCCCAAACAGGATCCCGGAGAAAACCACAAAAGCACAAAGGGGTGGATCCAGGAAAGATCCATAGAGTGACACAGCCCCAGAACCCACAGTCTCTGGCTGCTCCCTTTGGCAAGCCCTCTGCCTGTCCCTCTCTTCTATGTGGCCAAGCCCTCCAAGCTACCACTACTTTGGTGGGTGTTCCAACTACCCTCACCATCCCGCCCAAGTGGCCAGTCCTCAAGAAGAGCAAACGACTGCTCTTGGAGTCCCTCATGCGTGGAAGGATTGCACATCTGAAGTGGGGCCTCCCCCGGCGCATCCTGGAGTCTTATTTGCTCTTTAGCTTCTTCGGATCTTGCTCACTCCCCTGGGCTGGGGTGAGGCTGCCTGAATTAGGCAAAGGCCAGGAGCTCCAAAGGCAGCAGGAAAAGCATTGTGAGGCCCAGGGCTCCATGCCAGGCTTTAAATCTCCAGAGAGGTTCCAAAGGGTTCTGCCCTCTGATGGGAAAAGATCAAAACTTCTACACAGGCCAGGGCTTTGGAGAGGTGTAGACCACACAGGTCAGAGCCAACGGGCACTTCCATTCCACCTGAGAAACCCAGGAGAAATAGACCACCAGGGGGCGCCAGAGAACCACAGATCCAGGAAGAGGCCTCTAAGGCCAAACTCCCTGTTCCCAAGAATCCCAGGCCATGGGCAGAGTCTGTGAACTGGTGCTCCCCAGAAAGGGTACCAGAGCCTTCCAGTGAGAATAGTAAGGGCAGGAAAGTGATCAGACCAGATGTCTCCCAGAAGGCAGAGAGGGCTCCCAGAGAAGTGAGGACCTCATCTTCCAGGGCCAGCCATGACCCCTGGAAGAAGGAGCACATACTCTGGGAGGCCTCTCAGTTCCCCAGACATAAATATCAGCAGCCCACACACTGGAGAAGAAAAAGCCTGGAGCCTGCAGAGGACAGAGGAGCTAGGCAGCTGCCTCCCTCCGTTTCCACAGACTCCTCCAGCATTAAAGGAAGTCTCTAAGACAGCCAAGCTGAGCATGACCCTCCTGCGTAAAATGTCCTGGTCCCCACAGCTGGCCAAGCCCAGGAACTCAGTCCCTAGGCTTTCCAGAGTGGGTAACCCTCATGCACGGGAGGACAGCATCAGAGTTCATACTGCTTCGGAGAGGGACCATCAACCACCAGGGCACTGTAGTGCTGGGGTTTCTCTTCCTAGGACAAAGACCCCCCAGGGTCAGAGACCCCATGGGGCTCCAAAGAATTCATCAGCTCCTAAAAAGTTTGGTTTTATGAAGCGTTTGAGATGTTTTCTCTTCCAATGTGGTCTTAAAAAGTAGGTTGCAGGCCCAGAGTCCTCAGGACTCATCAGAGAAGGCACAAGAGTGGTTTGCTCACCCTCAGAACCTCTAATAAAATTATTTGGGACCTGTAGGATTTACATTGCCTTGGCATATCATGTTTTCTGAGTGTCCCTTTTTAGGGTTTGGAAGACTTTGTGTGTAGGGCAGAAATCACTTCAAGTCTGTGGTTTGTTCCTGTTCTTTGTCTGTCTCTCTCTCTCTCTCTACTAGGGATTGAACCCAAGGACACTATCATTACCATAGAGCTACATCTCCAGCCCTTTTTATTTTGTACGTTTGGCTTTTTGTTGTTGTTGTTGTTGTTGTTGTTTGTTTTGTGTTTTGTTTTTTTGCAGTCACTGGGCATCAAAGCCAGGGTTTTGTGAATGCTAAATAAAAACTCTATCATTGAGCTATATCTCAAGCCCTATCTGTGAAATGTTAACAGACATTTTTCTGTGTTAATATTTACTTTTCTCAAACATAAAAGACTATTTCATAATCTTCCATTGAATAACAAAATTGAATAACAAAACTATTGTTTTCTAAACTACTCTGCCATGGAGAGCAATTTTTCCAATCACAGAGCCTTTGAATGCAGAAACACAGCTCTTGAACTTTTACCTCCTTCAACATTAACCAGTTTCTGGGCACATCTGTGTTAATGCCCTGTTGATTGTTGGCTTGTAATTGTTGATATATTCTATGGTAAAATATTTTCTTTTTCAGTATTGCTTGTGCACTCATATATTCCTAACTCTCCCTGATATAATTAAGGGAGTGCCTTACCTTCTTTGAGAGAAAGATGTCATCTTGTAAATTTAAAATAATACCAACAGCTTTTATATATATATCGACAGCTTGCTTCCTTCCTCCCTCCCTCCCTTCCTTCCTTCCTTCCTTCCTACTGGACACAGGGACTACCACTGAACTATATCCCCAGCGCCTTTTATTTCATTATTTTTTTAAGAATTTTTTTTTTTTTACTTATTTTATGAGGTGCTGATGCTGGAACCCAGTGCCTCACGCGTGCTAGGCAGCCATAACCCCAGGCCCCTTTTATTTTTTTATTGAGACAGGGTGGCTACATTGCCCAGGCTGCCCTTGAACTTGTGATCCTTTTGCCTCCCTCTTCTGCGTTGGGATTACAAACAAGCACAGCTGTGCCTCTTTTTGTTTTTTAAAAATAAAAGCATTGTTTTCTTTCCTCCTTTTGGTAAGGCCGAGGGCAGCTACTTTATAATTGCTTTCAACCTTGGTGTTAGGGTTTGGATGAGAGGTGTCTCCAAAGGCTCATGGGTGAGACACTGCAAGAACATTCAGCGGTGACATGATCGAGTTGTGACAGCCTTAACCCAATCAGTGAACTAATCCCCTGACAAGGATTAACTGGGTGGTAACTGAGGCTGGCTGCATCTGGCCAGCAAGTCTCTGCCTCCCTCTGCCACACTCTTCCACCACGATGATCCGCCTCACGGCAAGCCCCTAGGAAGGGAGCCTGCTGTCCAGGGACTGAGACCTCTGGAACCATGAGACCTCCAAAAAACCATCCCTCCTCTAAAATTCTTGTCAGACCTTCTAGTCACAGCAGCGAGAAAGCTGCCTAAACCACTTGGGTGTGGTGAGGCCAATTTCTGAGGCCCATAAGCACGCCTTCTCGGGCCTTGGATGGGCTCGCTGGGACCCCGCGGCGTGGTCAGGCAGCGCCGGCGCGCACGCGCAGGCCGCACCTGCAAGTGCGCATGCGCCCAAACTGGGCGGGAAAAGTGCGGAGCAGCGGAGCATGAGTGAGGAGATGGCTGTGAGACAGGCTGCAGCGGTGTGTGGGAGGGACGAAGAGGCGGTGCTGCTCCTGGAGAGGGTCCATTATCGACATGACCCGCGCTGGCTGCTGCCCGTGTCCCCACGGCTCTGCCTGGCCTGCGCGCTGGAGCTGCTGCCGGAGCGCGGCGTGTCGGTGCGGGCTGATCCCTTCCTTGGGCACCAGGGCTTGGGCGTTTGCTGGCCTGGGGTGGCCGCTGACCCAGCCAGCTCCCGCGGCCCCGGTTGACCTCCTCCTACCCAAGCCTGCCCACCCCGCCCTGCTTTAAAACACTTAAATTTTTTTTTCTTTAGTTGTCAGTGGACCTTTATTTTATTTATTTGCGGTGCTGAGGATCGAACCAGGGGCCTCGCACACGCCAGGCACGCACGCGCTTGCTGTACCACTCAGCCCCAGCCCTGCTTTAAAGCACTTTAAAAACGCCTGCAGTGCCCACGTGGAGCTGCAGCCCCTTTTCTAGAGCGTCCCCTGCCTGCTGGTGCTGTGCCAAGGAAGATTGGCCGGTGCGCCCTCCACCTGCCCTGCCCTCCACCTGCCCTGCCCTCCACCTGCCCTGCCCTCCACCTGCCCTGCCCTCCACCTGCCCTGCCCTCCGCGGTTCACTCCTTCCCCGCCTTAGCTCGGGCTTCCTCCTATGTGGTCTCGGCTCCACCTTGTTCTCTTCAGCTATTTGAGGCCCCTGTGAGGGCTGGACCAACTGGCGGAAGTTCCAGCCAGTGGACAGGGTTGGCTCAATCGCCGGGCTCCTGGTTCCCTTAGTGCCTACCCACATTTGCGCTGAAAAAAAATTTTTTTTCCCACTGGGAAACCCAAGAAGAGTGGGGGATCAATTTGCCTACAAATTCATAGGAAGGGAATTCCTATCTGGGGGTGCAGTGGGGAGTAAATCAGCTATTCTCAAATTTTTTGATCTTAGGATAGCCTTACAATTTTAAAACTTGTTGAAGACCCCAAAGAATTTTCATTTATATTGATAGTTACTGTATTTAAAATGAAAACAAAATTTAAAGATATGCATTCATTTAAAGTAACACTAAATTTATGTATTAAGGTAAGTAATTTTTGTATTCAACCTTTTTGAGTGTACAGGTCTGTGGCATAAGTAATTGTATTTTATTTTTTATATATATTTATTTTCAGTACTGGAGCTTGAACCCAAGGGTGTCTAACACTGAGCTATCCGCCCCCGCCCCAGCCCTGTTAATTTTTATTTTTAAGATAGGGCCTCACTAAGTTGTTGAGGCTTGTCCATTTGTGATCCTCTTGCCTCAGCCTCCTGAGTTGCTGGTATTATAGGCGTGTGCCACTACACCTGACTGCATATATAATTTTTAAAAATATGTACATATATATTTTTAGTTGTTGATGGACCTTTATTTTATTCATTTATTCATATGCAGTGCTGAGAATCAAACCCAGTGCCTCACACATGCTAGGCAAGCCCTCTACCACTAAGCCACAACCCAGCACTGCATAAGTAATTTTTTTTTTTTTTTTGAGAGAGAGAAATTTTTTTTAATATTTATTTTTCAGTTTTCGGCGGAACCAACATCTTTGTATGTGGTGCTGAGGATCGAACCCAGGCCGCTTGAGCCACATCCCCAGCCCTGCATAAGTAATTTAAAAAATAAAAACTATTTTGGCTGGTGGCCATCCACTCTTAGAACAAACCAAACTAGCTCATAACCCTGATTTCACTAAGGGCAGGATTTCTGAGGCTGCAGTTTTTGGACAGTGAATCAGAGATAAATAAGACTGTGCAGTAGGGGAGAAGATAAAACAATACTTTATGGAAAATATAGAAGAATGGACATGTTTGTTGTCAAGTACAGTGTAAGGTAGGGAGGGATGCCACTGGAAATGCTTCTTAGAGGAGGAAACTTTCAATTAGGCTTAAATAGATGGGTGAAGTTTGGAGATGGGAGACTTATCTCAGGAGGTAGGTAGCTATATTGTGTTAGAAGGGACATTGAGGAAGTTGAGATTAGGAGAGCCAGGTTGAGATTACTACTTTGAAGAGTTTGTATCTGAGGTAAGGAGCTTGAACTTAAATCTGTCAGTGAAGGGGAGTTATTAAGACTGTGTTTTGAGTAGCACATTTAGATCATTAGCTTAATCTGTTATGTAGGATGAGTTGGTAAAGCAAAAATAGGAGACTTAAAAGCATAGGTTAGAGGCAATGAGATATTCCTTCTCCACCTTTTATTGAGTTAGTTTGTTTATGTATTTCTTTATGTTTTGTAGTACTGAGGATTGACTCCAAGGCCTTGCACATGTTAGGCAAGCATTCTACCACTGAGCTCTACTGTTGGCCCTTTTTATTTTATTTTGAGACAGAGTCTGGTTAAGTTGCCAAGCCTGGACTTGAACTTGCAATCCTCTTGCCCCAGCCTCCTGGAGTGTTTGGGCTCACTGACACATATTACTGCTTGTGGATTTGGGGATTGAACCCAGGACCTCATGCATCCCCAGCCCACAAAATGTACTTTTTTCTTAACTTCAGCTCTCACCAATTGAAGGAGTAATGTAGTCCATTGTACCATGTTCCTGTCCTATCCTTAGGATTCATTTTTTTTTTTTTTTTTTTTGTGGTGCTGGGGATCGAACCCAGGGCCTTGTGCGTGCGAGGGAAGCACTCTAACAAATGAGCTATATCCCCAGCCCCATCTCTTTTTTTTGACCTAACTATTTAGCATTTTGCATAGCTGCTACTCAGTTACCTGTACAGGGAAGGGACTTGAGGGTAAGAAGTTATGCCTACATTGAGTGGAAGGATGTTCTTTTCTGTACCTAGCTCTGGTATGAGCTATGAATATACCATATGAAGCTTATGAATGATCCCTGAGCAAGAACTGGTGAAGATTTAGTTTTGAGTCCTTGGGAAAGTCTAAGTCTTTGTTTTCTCATCTCTGAAATGGTGATAATATTTTTTTTTCTTGCTTCATTAACCTGTTAGGCTTAAATGAGTTGGTGGACAAAAGAATGATTTGTGAAGAGTAAAGTGCTATGTAAATGCAGGATAAGAATCTCAGCTTGCATATAATTCAATGTATGAACACATGAATTCCCTAATTGAAACAATGCTCTTGCTCCCTGTAGGGAGTATGGATCTCGTTGTAGTTTAGATGACCACTCTAATACCATCTTGTAATTGTACTTGGGAATTCCATTTGGG